AGCCCCAAATAGTCGAAGATACGACTACATCGGGACAAAGGGAGGCAAAAGCAAAAAGGGATGCACTGGCCACGCTATTGTCTGCCTAATTGAAAACAGTTTGGACTTAAAGTAATAGTTGTTTTTTAAACTTTGTTAAACCCAATAAAGAAAGAATAAAAATAAAATAACAGTCAGTTTATTTTTTTATAGGAAATAAAAATAAAAAACAAAAAACAATTCATTTTGCACTTAAAATTTATTATAAAAAAATCATTCAAGGTTAAGCGTAAAACATACTTGAATTCTAAGATTTGTCGAGTATTTTCTCGAACAGTGTACGAATTTCTTTCAATTCGACCAATTTTTCTTTTTCCACTGCTAGCTTCTCTGCCTCCATGTGATCTATTTCCTTCACATCCCTCATTACTTGCTCCCAAAGTGTGTTCCTCTTTTTTTTTTTTGCAACGAAATCTCATACTTCATACTTCAATCTTATTTCTATAAGTAATCCTCTCATGGTTCCACTTTTTTCACTATGCATATACAGAAAATATTAAACAATCATAAGTAAAACTACAATTTTTAAAGTAAACTACTTTTATTTACCATAAATCCGCCATTTTCACCACAAATTTATATTTTGTTTTTTGTTTACTTTTTGCCACTAAGAAAAGCCACTAAAGCTCACAAATGAAAACAATGCACAAGTTTGGCATATGTTGCGCATAAAAAAGCATTGCTATGCAATCGTGAACACGCGGCATTGCCACGATTGTGTCTGATGCGGCGGCGCCAATTAGATATTCCAAGCGTAGCCAGCTCCTTCTCCACCTGGTCCTTCCAACGGAGTAGAGKCCTTCCTCTTCCTCTGCTTCCCCCGGCGGGTAGAGCGTCGAATACTTTCAGAGCTGAAGTGTTTTCGTTCATTCGGACAACACGACCTAGCCAGCGTAGCCGCTGTCTTTTAATTCGTTGAACTATGTCAATGTCGTCATATATCTCGTCCAGCTCATCGTTCCATCGAATGCGAAAACCGCCGTGGCCAACGCGCAAAGGGCCGTAAATATTTCGCAAAACTTTAATCTCGAAAATTTTAAACGTCAAGAAGACTGCCCCTCTTTATCAGCAACAATCTGCCAGGAAGACCATCGTAAGATAGTAATCAGTGCTAGCCTTAAGTGGTACTTAAGGCATCTACAGGAGCGAAGAATTCCTAAGGACGCCGAGAAGATGAAGCGGAACAGGAGCGTAAGGACGAAAATACTGCATTGGTTAGCAAACGGAGTAACGGGACTCCGGGACAAAGGATTAATTATGCCCAGGTAGCTGGGTGACAACTCACCGCACCTAATCCTCCCYGGGCGGCTGAGAGACAGCGCAGATACGTGGCTACTTTCAAATGCATATTAATGGCTATGCTACCTCTGAACTACCCCGTGGAGACTCTGGAATCAGAGGATGTTACTACTCTACAGGATCTCTTCATGGAAGATGTATAGAGAGAATGTGGGCACCTGGTATAATTCCCAATAACCAAAACGGTGGAATTCGTACACCGGTTTAGCGAGAGGTAGAGAGCAGGAGGAGGATTCCGGATCTAAGCTGAATTATGTTTGGACGACAAGTCTTACAAATTCATCAGGAAGAAAGGCTTCCGAATGAGCTATGTGTTCAGGTAAGTAGTCATGAGACCCCACAGAAGCAAGGCTACTGAGGAAAGCGTTAATGAAGTGAGGCCAAGCATCTTACAACTGTTGAGGCTAAAGAGGAAGCCCCGATGGAAGAGCCAAGCGTTAAAGAGGGGTGCAACCCTCGAAGCAAAAGGTTTTATAAGGGCTTCAGGACCTGCATGGAACGCGAAGCACGGCGCAGATGACAACCTCATAGAACCGATTTTCCGAAACCGAATTTTCGTCGATGTGGGAGCTGACTATGCGAACCTGCATCACGTGCATCACGCGGCGTCAACATCCGCTGCCATAGCGAGCGTGGGCGGACCAGCACTTTTGCAACAGAGAGAGCAGGTTCTGCTGCTCTACCTTGCTCAGCTGATGATGGGTAAATGACTCACGCGAGCGTAGGATTTCAACTATTGAAGCTGCAACGACTCGCCGGCATCTGTCTGTCACAGAAAAAGGGCAAAGGTCAGAGAGTTATTGAAAGCTCTTCACATGACTGTTTATAGTATAATGCCTACTGGAACACTTACGCTAATAAATAAAAAACACTGACTGAGAACACTTTAAGCAATGCTATTAATTTACAATACGTATCTATTTGCTGGAAAACTGCAGAGGTGATTATGTTCAATAACCCGGAAAGTCAGCGCATGTTATTACTTTGTATCGGCCCATTTCTCTCCTTCCAATACTATCAAAGCTTATGGGGAAACTGTTTGATGTGCGTTTAAACATGGGGCACGTTTCCGATTACTTTGGCGGAGGGGTAAAAAAAAACACGAATTTCCGTGTAAATGGGGTATGTGCGGATTCTCCAGTGGATATCCAAAAATAATACAAAAATAACTTATATTTTTAAAAATATTCGCGATTAAAAGTTCAAAAATGGTAAGTACATATGGATGAACGAATAAGTTAAACCGAAGTAAAAAATCAATATATTTTGTTACTGAAATTGAAATAGTGTGTTTATTTACCATGTGTAAACTTATTCTTGACATACTGTATGTACTGCATATATAAATGCAACGAGTCGAGTGGAATTCCGAGTGTCCGTCTGTCTGTCCGTCGCACATAGCATTTTCCTTCAAAAACCGGACAAAAGTGAGAATTACAAATTATAGGGATGCTACTCAAAATTGATTGATCGATTAAATGATTGACCTTCAGCCCTCTATATTGTCAAACAAGTATTCGGAACTTTTGGCTTTTTTTTACTGAAATACATAGTTTCTACTCAACATTTAAACTTAAACTTTTTCCCCATCCCTTCCCTACTTTAAACAGAGCACGTTGATTGAGGTTGGTCACTTGCATAAAATGAGTACTGCTTTATTTATTTTTTAATTATTTCCAATTCTTATTATTTTTATATATAGATATATAATAGAGATATCTTAATGCAACTTGATACAGGTGTTTCATGGTTGCCGTAAAAACAGGCACCTGAAGGCACAGTAGACCTTAGGTCGCGGTGCAAATCTCGTTTATTTATCTAATTTAATCAACTSAATGTATTAAATATTACCTTTATCTCGTTTGAAGACGTTTTTAATATAATTTATCTGACGGGAACTAAAATATAGCAATAAAACTTAGTCCAAGGTTATGGCTTTCAATATATGTCAACATGTTGAATTCTTTCGCAACATTTTGTGTAGAGTTTAATAGTTTTGTTTACCTATCGGTTGATTTTATAACATAAAACTAATCATGTATGTCCGTCCATGCAAGCTATGTATTAGTAAAAATGGAGATATCTTCATGAAACACTCCTTGGCAAAAAGTGGAGGACGACATGTAAATGAGCTTAATGGGGCCACTGATACGCCCTCGAAACAATATTAAACAAAAATTTTTAGTACCCTAACTGAGTACCAAATTAAGATATACATGTTATTTGGCAAAGGGGATCGCAATAGTGGGCAACTGTGATGTGAATTCCAGACATGGGCCTAGTACACTGATATTAGATACAAAAGCTATTATTGGTTGTTTATTAGATATGAAATTAGCTTCTTTAACACTAAATTTCCTAACTTTTAAATATCACTCCTTTGTCTCATGATTTGACATATATTATATATAGTATATATGTATACATATATATATATATATACATATATCCATCCATACCACTCCATCCGGTCTTCATTCGATTCTACATTCRATACATTACGATTTTGCGTGATACTCAATTCGAGTATCAAAATCGACCGTTCTATATTTAATGGTAATTATTTTTACTTACGTAGACCTAATGATAAACGTTAATTTAAATGAATGCATCCCTTTCGCGGCATATTTTCACGCGTAATATACTTTTATTATTAATTACATTATATGCTAAATATATATCAAGATTTTAATTTTTTACATTACAAAAACCTTTTCAACTTTTGGGCTTGAGAATTTTGTATTTGTAATAGGACAAACCACAGCACCGTCCTCTCTAGTTATTTCGGGTACAGCCTAGAGTAAAAAAAAATAATTTTTAACCAAAATTTAGCTATATTTTACACTATATTTACCAACTGCCCAAATATTTGGCCATTTGGCAGCATCATTGGTAAGTTATGTTCATTCAAAGGTAGCCCAGTGACTCTAAAAAATCGAGAAAAATATGTATAGTATATATTAGGAAGAAAACTTTATACTCTGTGTAAAAATCTGAGGAAATGAGATTGAAACTCGAGCTAAATATTTAAAATAAGTAATAAAAAATTTAGTACAGTTAATATTAAGCAAAAATTTAGTTTAGGGGTTACAAACAACTTTTACTAAAAACTTTCACTTTTACTTTTTGCAATACGCTGCGAAAGTTTAAAAATACTGCGACTAAAGTTCGAGATACAACTATCCTATCTCTGAACAGTTCATCGCAGATGAGCTTCACTTATAAATATACTATATACATATATATAGCGGCCCGTGCGTGCTTCGCTACGTATAAAGTGAAATAATAAAAAAAACTATTATAACAGCAAACTCATTTATTCAAAAAAAAAAAATACAATATATATATATATATTAAATGCTCGCTTGAAATTTGAAAACTTATTTGTAATCATTTGAATTGAAATGACACATCATCGGCTTAGTAATGGCACATCATTTGCATTACGCGTTCGCCGACATATATTTGCTCGTCTGGCTCGTATCATTTTTTTCTTCATACAGAAAAGAATAAATCAAATTAAAAACAAATTTTACCTATAACAAAAAAATAAAGCAGCGGAATGCAGACAATGTTGTTTTTTTTTTAATAAAAAACACACGGGCATACCTGCATATATTTCACTTCAACTGTTCAAAACTTACCGCCGATAATTACTACTTACTTACTTTGATAATTTAATTGCCTATGAAATAAAAAATTAAAAACTGACGACTCACTGACCACAAAAAACTTGAGAAAAGTACACGCACACATATACATGGTATATTTACACAATATAAGACTCACCGTTAGTATGTATGCACTCAACATTATATAATATTTAAAAATATAACGCAAAGCAATAATTATCGCAGTCGATCTAATAAATTTGCTTTATTTCGGTATTCTGCTTGAGACGATTGGCTCATGTCTCTAATTATCACAATCGTAATTTAGTGATTATATTATACTATGTTCGGACCGACATTGAAAACATTTTSAAARYACATTTGTATGTTGTGGAATCTAAGTCGTTCGGACCGACAATGTGTGTTTTCGATGAGTTTTCACTGACAACTATTAAAAGCGGTATTCTCTTACTCTTGCAA